GACTGGCTCATGTTACCAGAGCATTGCAGCCAATCACAGACTGCCTCCTTCATCACAGCCCGCTCACCCACTTTCACATAGAGCAGAATGCTGTGAAACCGTTTATATAGCATTAGGAGTGAGGTAGCGGTACTTCACCCACATTCAAAGGCTATTTAATGTAATTTGTGAGATTAAAGCAGATTCTTCTTACCACATTTGGATAATCTTGGCAGGAATTTTCTGTTTCTCCATACTGCTGCAAAACCCATGACAGAACTCCAGGCCACTGATTAAGCTCAGCCATTGCCTGAATCCCCACTATAGTCAAAGCTGCTTTCAGTTCAGCATACTTGAAGCTGTAAGGAAAGATTTAGCATGAGATTGGAGATAACTGTAAATACATAACTTATTTCACTATGAGATATTTTACATAAACTCACCAGCTGTCCTCCTGCTCTGCAAAAGAGCCTAAACTCTCAAGTGCTTTCTCGCACGTATCCAGCGCAGCCTGAAAGTCTTTCTTTACCATTAAATATTCAACGGCAGCGTCCACCGGAGCTGTTAACGGACAGGCGGGTGGGCTGCTGAGCCGAACCGAGCCCGAACCACGACCGCCCGCCAAAAACACGGATGAACTGCTCCTCATAACGGACTGCTATTGAGCTTTTAGTGCATTACAGCCTTAATATTGAAATAAGATACGTTTTGGAATAATACAGTGTGAATCATTATTGATTATTGAATTATTATTGATTTAAGACACTATACGTAGAACATTTCTATTCTGTAAACAAAACCAGCTGCACGCCACGGAGCCATTTCCGCAAAGGACGACGAAGAAAATACCCGCCAAAATAAAAGTTCGGAGAAATATTTAAAACTTAAAATTTTAAACTTTAAAACGAATAATAATAATAATAGTAGTAGTAAGTACATAAAAACATTTTGTGTATATATATATATATATATATATATACACACACACATACATATATGTGAATATATATAATATACATAGAATATATATTCTGTAAAAAATATGGGAATTAAGTAGAGACCAAAATATTTTAAATCAAAATTCTTATATTTCTAAGTTCATATTTTAGCTGATATTTTATATATATATATATATATATATATGTGTGTGTTTGTGTGTGTGTGTATGTATGTATGTGTGTGTGTTTTATA